TCTGTTGTCCTCCATCCATATTTTCAGTTCCAGGCTGAGTCATTTTCTCCTCTCTGTCAACGCTCTCTGGTTTCATTAAAAAAAAAAACAATCGTCAGATATTGTCCAAGATTAACCTTCAGGGTGGATATAGCTCGCTAGCAGCCTCGCACCGAGGACCTATCCACGTCATCATTTACCCAGAATGCTTTGTGTGTAAATAAAATGGCTCCGTCCGTGTTAAAATATATATTTTAAAATGTACAAAACAAAAACATCCTACAGTATTTTTACAGTCTTTATTTTACAGTTAAAATATATGTTTATCAAATAAAGCAGAGGAGCTCAAAGTGGGGCCTGTGAGCCAAATTTGGCCCGCCAATCCATTTGATTTGGCCCACCAGCAGTTGACATAGTTACTAGGCTGTAACCTGTTGTCCTATGTAAAAACACAGTATTTCCACTWAGTCATTTCATCTATTTGTCCAGTGACTATATAAGGGGCTGTAGTACAGATAGTCTTCACTCATGCAGTTGACTTTATCTAAATAGCAAAGGCTCATGGGAAATTAATGTCCCGTGAGTCTTTGCTGCTTGAACGAATGGCAGACTTTCTCCAACTAAAACAAAAGCAGGCCACTGCTCTGGCTGCAGGTTTAATTGTTAAAAATAAAGGACTTTACTTAAAAAGTATTTGTATTTCAAGCATTATATTACTGCATTTGGCCCGCAGCCCTGAATATATTTCATTTTGGTCCTCTTGGGGAAAACGTTTGGGCACCCCTGAAATAAAGTCTAATGTTACAACTAATCGGGGATCCCTTTAAAAAATGTATGAATATATTTTTACACAAATGCAGTCAAAATGTATTGTTCTGTTTGGGGAGCAGATGGCAACATGAAATGTGCAGCACATGCATCCACACATAAAACATGTGGAATTTATTTTGAAATCAGAAGTTTCAAAAAGACTTTAGCAATGCAGTTTCAACTGTTTAGAGTCCATCTTCCACAGAATTAATTCTTTTGTTCTGACATCCACATTTATCACTGGATTTATTGTCTGATCTCGCAGTTCCTGCACATACTTCTTGGACCTCCTCGGTGCATCRCACCAGAGCAGACTGGAGCGGAGCGGACGCTGTATAAACTGGGGTGCAAACGTACAGTAGCAAACTGTGCAGTGGAGCGGAGTGGAATCGCATATAGTGTAAATTAGGGGTCACACAAACCTGTTGACTAAACCCTGTTAGTTAAAGGAAGCTAACTGGTCCACTGACAAATTATTGAGTTGCTGAAAAAACTAATTTGCTAAACAAAAAGCCTGCTATGAGCTGTTTGCCTATTAGTGGAACCATGCCCCCACTGTTGGCTTGTTTTTGCTTTGTGAAGCCTTTAATGCATTTCCCCCACCCCAATCACTGCCTTTTGAACTCTAATAATAACAATAATAATAATTTGGGATTGTTTTTGTAATAATCAAATTTTACATGCCAACTTTTTAGATATACGAAGAGTTTAAAGAATGTTAAACAAACTAACATCAAGATAAATGTTAAAACTGCTGCCAGTGTCATGGTTTGTCAGTTTTCACCTTGGTTTTCCTTGTGTTTCTATGTTTCCCCAGTGTGTCTCAGCCCAGCTGCTCCCCATTAGTCTGATTGTCACCCTCGTGTTTCTCACCGGGTGTTTTCAGTTCATCCATTAGTTGTCAGTGTATTTAAGTCCTGTCTTGTCTCAGTTTTGTGTCGGTTCATTGTGTTCTGTTCCAGTTGTGGCACTGACAGATTTGGGCCACATACACTAAATCACAACCTGGCCAGCTGTGGCATTGACCAATGTGGACCACAAAAACTTAATCACAACTCAGCCAGTTGTGGCATTGACAGATTTGGGCCACATAAACCAACTGGGCCAGTTGTAACATTGATAAATTTGGGCTTCATAAACCAAACCATAACTAGGCCAGTTTTGGCATGCCATCTTAAAAACAATGCCATCATTGCCAGACCTGGCCCACACCCAGTTGAAAAAAACCCTTGCCATGCCAGCAATCAGCCAGAAGTGCCAGCTTGACACCAGAACTGGCCCACACCTGCGGGAAGACTGTTTATTTAAAATGTTAATATGACATCTCACCTTCACATAGAGGGAAATCTTGTAGTTTTGATCTCGAAGTGTTCTGCTGTCTCGGCGCTCGGTGGACAATAGTCTCTGAGGGATCAGTTGGACTTCCTCTGTCTCTGGTGCCACCTCCTCCCGTTGGGGAACATACGAGTGGCCATCTTCCAACAGCACCACTCGCTTTTTCTTCACCTGCTCGCCTTTCCTTTTGGGCAGAGACTCATCTTTGATGACTGACTTCAGCTCTTTCAACCAGTCCTCCTTGGTGTTTTCTCCTGCTTGGGGTTCCTTCTTTAACTGTTCATTGTCTTTCTTCTCATTCTCCCAAATGTCCTTTCTGACAGGGCGAAGTTCTTTTTGCCACTCTTTCGTCTCTTGTGTTACCTCTTCTTCTCGTTGGTCTTTTTTGATCCATGCATTATCTTTTCTCCTGGATGACAGCACTTTTGATTTCCCCGGTCCTTCTTTCCCAGTCGGCTGCAGAGACAAACTCCCGTCTTCCATTGCTTGCTTCAATTCTTTAACTTTTGTTTTTCCTCTTTTCACATCATTCTCTTCATTTTTGTTTTCGTGTTTACTGTACCTAATGTTTTCTTTGTTCTTTTTTTCAAATTCTTGGTCCTCATCTATTTGTTTTTGCAGCTCTCGACTTTCCTTCTCCTCGTTGTCCTCGATGGTGATACTGGAATTGGCATCAGGAATTTCTTCCTCAATATGTTTACTTTGAACCTCTTCAATTTCATCATCTAAAACTGTCACTGGACCTTCTGCCATCTCCACTCCTCCTGTCATTGCCTCTTCTTCACGTCCTCCCTTCTTTTTGGACAGCCGTTTTTGTTTTTGGTGCCGTCGGAGGTTGCCCACCCAGTCTGTCCCTAACCTTTTGAGGACTTTCAAAGGATGCTTTTGTATATTGCCTTCCATAGATTCTGTGGATTTACTCTCTCTTGGGGCCTCGCTCACAGTCTGATTTGGGTCTTTTTGTTCAAATACTTCAGCCATCTCAAAAGTCTCAACTTTTTGCTCATATACAGGCACCTTCTCCACTTGCTGGACTGCTGGTTCTTGAAGAATCGCTAAGTCCTGGTCCAAAACCACTGTCTGTTTGTCTTCTTCCTTCATATCTATCATCTCTAGAAAATCAACTCCAATCTCTTGAATGTTTTCTTCTTCACTCTCCTTCCAATTGATGTCTTTCACCACAGTTTCCTCAGTCAGTTTGTCTGTCAGTGACTGTTTTGTAAAAGTGGCAAGCTCCAGCTGGTCCACCAGTTGATTACCTGTCACTTCTGAAATGTTTTCAGATAGCTCTTCATCAGAAGCAAAAGTTGCATCAGTCATTTTGTTGGTGGAGTTTTCTTCTTCCAACACATCGTCATTGACAGAACATGGAGTCATACTATGGTAGTTGTTTCTGTCAGTGTTTCTCAGCTCTGCTTGAAGCTCAGTGGTTAGTTGGCTGGTCTGGTTGATGGTACCTTCAGCTGGTTCGATTGACTCAGTAGTGTCATCGCTAAGAAAGGCCACATAACTTTGAGTGTTGTCTTGTTCGTTTATCGCTGCATTAACTTGGGTCACGTTGGTTTTCACATCCTCAGAGGCTTCCAGTGTGTCCTCATATGTTTGCAGCAGTGTCCCATCTAATGCTGAAGCATCAAACTTCTGAAAGTGCACATCATAATTCGAGACTTCGTCAGCTTTTTCCATTTCTTGAAGTGTTTCAACATCTTTTTGCTTCTGTTTTTCTTCATTGTGTTGCAACATCTGCTGATTCCTAATCTCTGTTGATACCAGCGGCCATTCATTCTCAAGCTCCACGTTCCCATGTTCCTTCKTTGTTGTTTTTACATCTATCTCTTCCTGTTCTTTATCACCCTCTTCTTTTTGTCCAATCCCACTGTCTTCTTGTTTGTTGGAAAGCTCCTCGACCTCCCTTGTTACACTATTCTGGTCCACTTCAATAACACAGATGGCCACAGTTTCAGTTTTACCTCTACTTCCATTCTCTTGGCTATCAGTTTGGTTCTGTCCCGCTTCAGTGAATAACAAGGCGTCTTCGCCTACTTCCTCTGCTAGTTCCACCTCTTCACCCTCCTCACCTGTCTGAGCATCCAGATCTGAGCAGGGGGCCAGTGAATTCCAAAAGATGCCTTCGTTTGACAGGTCTGAGTTAGAGCAGGAGCGTGACTGAGCCATTGAGAAAGTTTGATAAGATGTTTTCTTTCTTTTTTCCCAATATGTCAGTTTTATGAAGAGCTTCAGTGAAGGATAATTGTGAAGGATAAATTGGATTTTAAAGGAATGCAGGGGATGAAAACAGAAAATAAGAACTAGTTTCCAGTCTTGGTCCAGTGTTAATTTAAATGTTGTTTAAGCGGATCCTCCAGTTCCAGTAATTGTCAAAAACCATCTCATCACATTTAAAAAAAGTAACTGAAAACAACAATGGTTGGAAGTGAACAGCAGAAGTAGAATGTTTTATAAGGGTTACCCCAAATCCTGGAACTTCTTCTGAAAAGTTAAAAGAAAACCCAGTGTCTTTAAATCTCTATGAATCCATTATTATTCCTCTGAATAGTTTCAGCAGACGCTCTTTGACTTGGTCCTCCCAGATCTGGAGCTCATGTAACAGCACAGTTGGTTCAGAACCGTCAAAGATCCACAGAAACAATCTCTCCCTCCCTCCCTCCCTCCTCAGACGATTAAATGATGGCTTATCCCCACATGACCAGAGGCTTAACCCCCCCTCTGCCACCCGGGGAACGGCACCACCTGAGAGGAATTTTCTTCAAAACACTGGCCCTTCATGAACAGCACACACTCTAATCTTAACCAACGTGCACAATATTTTACTAAACTTCATCTTTAAATTGGCTTTTTCCACGAACAAAGTGAGTCATCTTCTTGTTAACCTGACATGTTGATAAACATGCAGGATTAGACACTAAGCAATGGGATGATGAGGTCCACTATTAATTCTGTTCAAACTTCTTCATGTTAGATCAGTGCTGCTTCTGTCCAACAATTTTATAACAAACTACAAAGTGGTRGGCATGATTCTGCTAAACAGCTAACAGCTAATAGCTCAAACTTTTTTTGTTTAGCAGATTACCTTCTTCAGTATCACTGAAAACTGTTAGCAGACCAATTACAGTCTGTTAAATTAAGTGTTGTCATGTGTAAGTTAACAGCTAACTACCAAGCTAACTTTAACAGGTTTGTGTCAGTCCCACCAGTCTTCAGCTGATTAGCTGTTAGTGTTACCTTTTTTAGCTCATTTTTAATCATTCAAGATTCAAGTAGTTTAATTGTCAATGCTTCATATGTGCAAAACATACAGAGAATGGAAGTTGCGTTAGTCTCTTTCCCAGTTACAACATTAAACAAGTAATCAACAGAAATTGCGTAATCCAATAACATAGTAAATAAACAAAAAAGTGACAATAAAAGTGTAACACAATATGGACACAGATACAGATGAATTTGTGACATAACACAAAAATAACAGGAAATGGAGGGGACCTCAGTAGTGCAAAAATAGAGATCTTTATACAAGAAAAGGTTGAATATTGCGATTATAGTGGAATAGAAGCTTAATGCTGATAAAAGTAAAGTGAAGGATGCATATGAGTGTATAAGTGATGTGTGCATGTAATTCTCACAGATGAGGGAGGGGGTGGGGGGGGGGGGGGTGGGGGGGGGGGGGGGGGGGTAAGTTGATCATTCTTATAGCCCGATGGATGGAGTTGTCCCTCAGTCTACTGGTCCTGGCCTGGAGACTCTGCAGTCTCCTCCCTGATGGCAGCAGGCTGAAGAAGCTGTTCAGTGGGTGGGTAGCATCTTTCDCCTGGCGGAGGGCTTTCTGTGTGAGGTGGGTGCTGTACAAGTCCTGAAGGGTGRAAAAAGGGGTGCCAACAATCTTCTCAGCTGCTCTTACAATGCGCTGGAGGGTCCTGCTGCAGGCTACTGTGCAGGCCCCATGCCACACAGTGGAACAACTGGTCAGGATGCTCTTGACTGCCCCTCTGTAGAAGGTGGTTAAGATGGGGGTGGGGGCACCAGCTCTTCTTAGTTTGCGGAGAAAATCGAGTTGCTGGTTTGCCTTCCTGGCCAGTGCTGCTGAGTTAGTAGACCAGGAGAGATCCTCTGTGACGTGCACACCCAGGAATTTCGTACTGCTCACCCGCTCCTCTGTTGATGGACAGAGGAGTGTGCTGTCCGCGGGTTCTCCTGTAGTCCACCACAATCTCCTTGGTCTTCTCAGCATTCAGAGAGGTTGTTTTGTTTGCACCATGAGGCCAGACGACTAACTTCGCTCCTGTAGTGTGACTCATCGTTGTTGCTGATAAGACCCACAACTGTTGTGTCATCCGCAAACTTGATGAAGAGGTTGGAGGAGTGTACCGGTGCGCAGTCACGGTGAACAGCAAAGTGAACAGGAGGGGACTTAGCACACATCCTTGGGGTTCCCCTGTGTTCAGTATGGTGGTGCTGGATGTGTTGTTGCCAACCCGCACTGCCTGTGGTCTCCCAGTCAGAAAGTCTAGAAGTTCCTGTTCATGTTTAACTGTTTAGCATTAATGATGCTATCATTTTAGGTGGCAGATTATGAGCCAGCAAAGCTAACTTTTTGTTTAGCTGTGCCCACAAAACCAGAGATTCTGAGCTGGTTTGAGGTCTGGGCTTTACCTGGTTTGCCTTAAATATGTGGAGTGTTGCTTCAGCTGTGTGTTTAAGGCCATTGTGCTGCTGGAAGGTGACACTTAACCCCAGTTTTTATATGATTCAAACAAGGTTTTCACAGAGAAGTTACCTGCATCTTACTCATCTTTCTTTCTACTCTGTCCTGAAAAACATTCCCGTAATATGACACTACCRCCACCATGCATTACTGCAGGATGTTGTTTCTTAGCACGACAAGAGGTTTTTCTTTGACTACAAAAAGTCTTATTTTAATTAACTGACCCTTTCTTCCATGCATTTAGTGAGTCTGTAGTGATGCTACACAGCGTCTCATCGAGAATTTTTTATTTAAAAAATTAATGAAAACTTTCCTGAATTGTTCCAAATACAGATAAAAATACATATAATTTATCAGTTTATATAGCTGGATTGGTGACAATAACTTTGGGTTTGTAAAACAACATAATTTTCTCACATTTGCAACACCTTTTAAAGGTACATTAATTATTTTATGTATTAAAAATAAATGATTTCATTTATTATTATTATTTATTCATGTAATTTTCAGATTTATCATAACATTCCTCAAAAATAAAAATAATTACTATTGATTTTGCTCAGGTTCCTGCACTTGTGAGGGGCAGATGGGAAAAAAGATACTTTTTAAACAGTCGTAGAACATAATTGTTCATTAAGTCAGACAGAGTTAATCAATTATTAATGGTATAAGAAAGTATGGCAGGAAATTTGACATATGAAGACATTTTCTCACAACATTCAAATACGTTGGGGCTGTCAGGAACATAGGAAAAATAGAAGGGATCTACTTGTATTGGAATTAYTCGTTAATCAATGGGATTTTATGATCGTTGCAGTTGACCAAACTAGTGTAAAGAAAAATTATGTAGAACAACAGAACATGGAAAATAAAACAAACATACTAAAAAGCTCTGGTAAATTTTAATTATGCAAAGAATAATACCATCGGAGATGCCATAGGGAAAGTAATGGGTTAAGTTAGTTTTTTTAAGATGTAAATTTAATGAGTAAAAAAATACAAAGTGAGTCAAATGTCTTAGGACACCCTTTTATTTCAGAAACAAATAAAAAAATCTGTACACTCCAGCAAATGATGGGTGAGTGGGCCTATTGCCTAGACCTAGAACATAATTACCATGTTAAAAGCTGCTATATTGGATCAATAATAATAATAATAATAATAATAATAATAATAATAATAATAATAATAATAATAAATAACTTGAATGGGCTGGTGGTCAAGTAGCAAAGAAAACCAGTGATACACAGCTGTTTGTGTTGATAACTTCTGAACCAAAATCAACATTGCAAATCTGATTTCTGAGATAATCCTGGCCTTGTTTGTCATGCTACAGGACACCCATCCCATACCAAAACTTGGCCTTCATCCAGTTTGGCAGCTTTCAAGAGGGCAGCCATGTTTTAGGCCCCTCACTCATTACTTGCTGAGGTATTCAGATATCTTATTTGCGCTTTCGTTTTTAAAATGAAAGGATGTCTTACTTTTGGGTCAGTGTATCTTTTGGTCATTGGATTTTCATTTTTGAAACGGGTATTAAAAAACAAGAAATGAGTGGATATTTGATTTTTGTTTTAAAATACTGAAATTAAAATTAAAATACGAAGCGTTTCTCATTCTTAGTGTCAAAAAGGGACAAACAAAATTTTAAAAATGATTTGAGTTTTATTTTCTGTTTTAGATAGCAAAAAAGAAAATTACTTTAAGACAGAAACAAAAAAGGGCTTGTTTATTTGTATTCTACGACTATCTATTCCCCCACCAGAGGGGGCGCTCACCTGGCAGCTCTGTATGATAAAACACTAATTTCTGTAAATAAAAGGCTGAAACACAGAGAAGTGTCCATAAAAGAGTTGTATGATGACTGTCGCTCTGTGACCAAAGGCTTGCAGAGGTAATTCATGTGGCTTTTGGCCAAATAAGTCTCTTTTACTGAATACATGTCAGCTACTGCCTCCATGTTTCATCTCCATTTTTCTCAATAAAAAGCAAAATAAGACAAATTTTATTCTATTAGTGTGTTGTACGATTGTTGTTCTGTGAGCACAAAGGTTTTTTTCCCTTTTTTAAAGGGAAAAAATGTCACTGATGATGAATAAATTAAGAAACTGATAATCAGTTCTGCTTTCCACTAAAGTGGCAAAAAAAGTTTTTTCCCTCCTGAGTTTTCCCAAAATCTGTGCTTGTTTTTTTTTTTTCCAGTCAGTTTGCGTCCTTAGATTTTTCCTTTCAGTGAAGGGTGGGCAGTACTACGACTTCGATATTGATCTGATACCAAATAAATACTTGGCAAATATATTTACTACCAAAGTCAACATCAATGCTTTTTACATGTAATGGGATGTTCATTGAATAACTTTGATATTGCAGACACCACTTCTGGTGGTGAAACAGATTATTGTAAGGATACAGTAAGTTGGTACGACCTGTCATGGATTATGAACAAACAAGACTTTTTTCATTTCTGTCTTAAAGTAATTTTCTTTTATGCTGTCTGAAACAGAAAATAGAACTCAAATCATTTTTAAAATTTTGTTCATCCCTTTTTGACACTAAGAATGAGAAACTCTTTGTATTTTAATTTTTATTTCAATATTTTAAAACAAAAATCAAATATCCACTCGTTTCTTGTTTTTAATACCCATTTTGAAAATGAAAATCCAATGACCAGAAGATACACTGACMCATTTTGACTCAGCTTCTTTTGTTTTTTCCTTCCAGACATTTGCTGTGTCCAAAACGGCAGGACGGGTCCTCCGAAGGACCCAGACTACCCGGTCTCGGCGGGCCGGGTCCTTGGTAGACCGGGAA